ACCCAAGTTATTCGATCATTTATTCTATTCGATTTTGACCCAAGATATTCCATCATTTATTCTATTCGATTTTGACTCAAGTTATTTTCTTATTCATTGTTCTATTTTTACCCAGGTTATTCCAGGGCAATGACCGAAAAAAGAACCATCTAAATGCGAAATGGAGCTGGGAAAGTTATGGTGAAATGAAAAACTGTGGCCAGGAAAGCGACTTTCGATTGTACTATTGCTGGGAAAGCCATTTTAATGCTAATTATGAATGTATGACTAAATGACTAACCTCAGTAGGGCCAGCATACATCATCGGTGAAGGAAAAATAGCTAGTACGGTGTTTTCAGGATCTAAAACTTTCTCTTGTAAAACAGCGTGATGTTGTCTTATTCGTATCGCTAGAGGTACATCGTCATCCTTCGTCCACCCACCAAGGGGATGAAGCAACAGGACTGGCTTCTTGAAGCCTCGATTTAACAGCTTCATGTGAGTGTCCTTGAAGAGAGATTAGAAATGATGAGGAATCAACGAATAATGATGTTGAAGATGGCGGTGATGTTGGTGGTGTTGGTGAAGATGGTGTTATTGATGGTGATGATAGATGATGATGGTGATGATAAATGATGTTGAAGACGGCGGTGATGTTGGTGGTGTTGGTGAAGATGGTGTTATTGATGGTGATGATAGATGATGGTGGTGATGATAAATGATGTTGAAGACGGCGGTGATGTTGGTGGTATTGGTGAAGATGGTGTTATTGATGGTGATGATAGATGATGATGGTGATGATAAATGATGTTGAAGATGGTGATGTTGGTGGTGTTGGTGAAGATGGTGTTATTGATGGTGATGATAAATGATGTTGAAGATGGNGGTGAAGATGGTGTTATTGATGGTGATGATAAATGATGTTGAAGATGGTGATGTTGGTGGTGTTGGTGAAGATGGTGTTATTGATGGTGATGATAGATGATGATGGTGATGATAAATGATGTTGAAGATGGCGGTGATGTTGGTGGTGTTGGTGAAGATGGTGTTATTGATGGTGATGATAGATGATGATGGTGTTGATAAATGAGATGGTGTTAATAATGGTGATGGTGATGATAGTGACGATTATGATGATGACGATAAAAATAAAAAGAAGGATTTGTATCTACCTGCATGAGTAGAGCATGTCCATTATGTATAGGGTTTCTAAGTTGAAACGCAAACACAGCATCAGAACCTCTTCGTTTGAACTCAGCTCTCAACTCCTTGGGTGTCAAGCGGTACTCATCTAGTCCATCATTCCAGCGTATTCTCTCAAAGACCTCTAGGTCACCACCAGACAACCAATCACCTGACTCCATGACCATCTATATCATTAACAAAATCCATACATTAATTAACCGTCTGATATACCTAACACAAGGGAGTCGTCTTAAAATATCTATTATAAATATCCGCTTTTTGATTAGTTGTGGGACGTGCTGAGAGTACGCAGCACGCGCGCCGGCGCACTTTCTATTTCGTCATTCATATCCAAAAGAGTGTGTAATGTAAATTTGTATTTATTGAAAAAGATCAAAACTTCCTTCCTGTGCTCAGTGCAGTAATAAACTAAAACACTTTAAGACTGGCAGAGCACTTGCGTACTTATTTTATTATTGAGTAGGCGTCGTGCTTCTCCTAACAATTTTCTCGGTGCCCTGCTGACCCCAGCGTGCTTATTTGAGCAGTTTTCGTATAGTGCAGTTTTCGTATGACTGTGAAAAGCTAAGTGCCGTAAGCGTGACGTAACGTGACCGTGATACTTTCTAGAATTTTAATTGGCTGATTTTTCAGTCACGCACAATATGATTGGTCTAAAAGTGCCGTGACCTTGGCGTGACCGCGCTGTGTTTATGCCGTGTTCTGGGTATTTGATTGGATGGACAGTAAATACACGCACAATGTGATTGGTCTAGCGTATGCCTTGCAGGGTCACGACCAGCACGTGTTCACTATTTCTTCAGTAATTTACCTTGATGTAAGGGTGTTTACTGCTGGATGTACCCCATTGTCTAGCAGACCTTTCTTCTTTTCGATGCTCGTAGAAGTCAGGTTTTCTTACTATGGCTATGTCTTTACCCTCGTATGTAAGGGTATAAGCAGAACAACCTTCTAGTCTTTGCTTATCTTCAGTGGAAAGAGGTAGTACTATAGGAATAGACTGATTTGATACAGAAGCTGAAAAATATGAAAAAGACGAATGAGACGGTAATGGGATGCCTGTGGTATGGGTTTAATTCTCGACCAATCAGGAATACAGAAACACACACCATCCAATCAAACAGAAGTTATTTATGGTGCCTTAACTCTTAAATGGCTTCCACTCTCAACCAATCAGGAAGCACAAAGACACGCCATCAAACCACAAGGAAGCCATTCATGGTACTCTCGACCAATCCAATCACGGAGCCTAAAGGCAAACTACTGATATTTGATGATTACCTTTAAGCAAGGCATCAAAGTGCTGACATTGAAGGAAATCTTCTTCTCTCATGAACCCAGACAAGGGTGTGGCCCAGCCTTCTGCTAACACTTGCACCCACTGTAGATCGAGCTGGAATGGTAAAAATTACCCAGAGTTTACATTTATAGCTTATTCAGAACAATATTCCAGAGTTTAAGCTGAGAGCCTGTTATGCCGCGTTTTCAACTACATACTACATTCAATACAGTGATAGCTGTAGTCGCACGGTCGCAAGCTTTCTTTCCCCTATTTATTGTTAAAACAGACCTCTATTCAACGCGGGACACCATCTGTTAAAGGGACGCCAGACAAGGTCTCAAAGGTGTTCGCTTAATAGTAGAACCCCCTTATTTAGCTTTCAGCTCTCGTGGTGATTTTTACGGAGAGAGGATTACCGGAGAACCCCGATAAAAACCCTCGCGGTTCGAGGGAGAGAACAACACATCAAACAAATTCATGTCACGGGAAAAGTTACCTTGGTAATAGACAACTTTGGTAGTGAAGAGGCCTCTTGTTTCGCTTGTTCTACTTTATTAGGTGCTACGAAAAGTTCTTTGACTCCATTGGCGATAGAATCTGGTAATATATTCTGAATAGACCATGGAAAAATAACATCAGTTATCACAATACGTACAAAATCAAAGGGAATCCAATTTAGATATTCTGAAATATGTGCAACCGGAGAACTATAGAGGCTTTGCACCATCACGTGATGGCAGCCATGACAAGAGGCAGGAACAATTAAATCTGGTCTAATCTGATTTACACGTGAAATAATTCATTTTCAAGATCTGGAGCTGGAATAAGATACCTAGCGATTTGCGTAAATAAAAAAAGAAGTTTAAGCTTACATTACGTAAAACACTATCTGATTTTCTCCTAAGAGAAGATAGCTATGTTGACACTTCCACTATTGTAGACAGACTAGATCATACTTTGAACGTCTCATACTGAGTCGGCTATTTATAAACTATTATTTCTTGATCTTCAATCATTGGTTAGTATCATTTTTCCTTTTTCTCTTTTTTTCCCTTTTCGTTTCTTTATTGTAATTAAACTGTTAGTTTTTCATTTATTCATCTTCTTATTTATTTGTAAATCTTCAAATATTTGTTTAATGTAATATATCGCCTCCCGCCTAGATTAGTCTAGTGCTATTTGCGGGAGGGTGATAAATTGTGTAAATATAATACTCTTTTGTAAAATAAACTTGAAACTTGTTTCCCAGGGGAAAGATACCCTATTGTTGTGCCTCCTATCATTGCTGCTATCACGTGATGGTGCAAAGCCTCTATAGTTCTCCGGTTGCTCATGATTCAGATTATCTAAATTGGGCTCCCTATGATCTGATATTACCATGTTAGTCCCACATTACTGGTAAGATAATCATCAGAAGTCTCTATTATATAGGAAAGAAAAGGCGTGCTAAAGATATATATTGTCGTGAGTATTTGGTTGTTTTTTTTCAATCGCTTTTGTTACACACACACACACACACACACACACGCACGCACGCACACACACACACACAAAATGCCGATTTTAAAATTTTTTTAACTTTCATTTTTATATCTAAATCGGGCTCCCTGTGTTAAAATCCGGAACACGTTTTACCTTTTTGGTGAGCATTTCTACCAATTGCTCTAAACATTCATCGACTGTTAAATCCCCTGCTCTCAGATCAAGTTCTGGCTTTTCTGGGGGTTGATACACTGCATCGATACCGGTAAAACCTGTTAGAAGGGGAAAAGCATGATGTCATTGGATTGAATGAGTTGGTAAATGATGGGTACCTTAGGCTGTGTTTACAAGGTACCGGACGAAATTTGTAACCGGTCGAAAAATTGACCTGTACATACCGTTTACGCGGAACCATCACTTTAATAGTATAACAAATACGTGTTATCTCATAAATAAAGCTCATAAATAGGGCTCATAAATAGGGCTCATAAATAGGGCTCATAAATAGGGCTCATAAATAGGGTTCATAAATAGGGCTCATAAATAGGGCTCATAAATAGGGCTCATAAATAGGGCTCATAAATAGGGCTCATAAATAGGGCTCATAAATAGGGCTCATNGGCTCATAAATAGGGCTCATAAATAGGGCTCATAAATAGGGCTCATAAATAGGGCTCATAAATAGGGCTCATAAATAGGGCTCATAAATAGGGCTAATAAATAGGGCTCATAAATAGGGCTCATAAATAGGGCTCATAAATATAGGCTTTGCACCATCACGCGATGGCAGCCATGACAGGAGGCACAACAATCTTTTCCCCCAATTTTTCCTGCCTCCTGTCATGGCTGCCATCACGTGATGGTGCAAAGCCTCTATAGGGCTCATAAGAGGGCTGTACCTTTAATGATTCCAGCTCTAGCCTTCTTGTATAGACCCTTGACATCTCTTGCTTCACACTTTTCTAATGGTGTATCGACATACACTTCAAAAAATGGTAAGTTCACTTTTTCATGAAGCTTCCTCGCTTTTTCTCGATCCTGTCATATTCAATCAAGAATTATTTTACAAGGAACAATAAATAAATAAA